TTATTTTCATGCCATTTGAATGACAGTCCTTGTTGCACACTCCAGCATCTGCTCTGAGAAATCATGGATTCCAGACTTCTCTCCTATTCTGTATTCAATGTGCTTAGGACATCACACATTGCAGCAGAGCAACTTATGAACCTATTCTTAGAGGAAGAAGACCGGGATGCAGATGACAGAGTGAGAGAGATGGACATCAGCGATTTGGCGTTACATTTGGCTGTCACAGAATAGAGCATTGCTTTTGGGCTAGGAAAACCAGCACTGAATGAAGGGATCACATTGTCATGCAGGTGTGGACTGAAGATCAGTGTCTCCAAAACTTTCAGATGCATAAAACAATCTTCCTGGAGTCGTGTGTCGAGCTGGTCCCTGAACTGCAGTGCAAGGGAACACGAAGGAGAGCTGCTCTCTAGACAGAGAAGTGTTTTGCAATTGCTTTGTGGAAGCTGGCAACTCTAGATTGCTACCATTCATTTGCAAATCAGATTGGAGTGGGGAAGTCTACCATTGGGGCAGCACTCCTGCAAGTATTCAGGGCGATAAATCACATTTTGCTATATAGAATTATGACTCTGGGAAATGTGGATGACATGGTGTCTGGTTTTGCAGACATGCCCAAACTGTGGTGGGCAATCAATGGCACACATATTCCCATTATAGTGCCACCCCACATTGCCACAGAGAACCTCAATTGCAAGGCGTACTTCTTGATGGTGCTTTAGGTGCTTGTGGTTCACCATATGCATTTCACAGACATAAATGCTTCTGGAAAGGTGCATGATGCACACATTTTCAGGAACAGTGGCCTGTACAGAAAGCTGCAGAAAGGGACTTTCTTTCCAGACCACAAAATCACAGTGGGGGGTGTGGAAATGCCCATAATGATCCTCGGTTACCCAGCTTACCCCTTACAGCCTTGGCTCATGGAGCACCTGGACAGCAGTAAGGAGTGGTTCAGTAACAGGCCAACCCAATGCTACATGGTTGTTAAATGTGCCTTTGACAGATTTAAAAGGAGATGGAAATGTCTCTGTGGTGGCTTGACTTATGAAAGATCATATCCCCATCGTGGTGGCTGCATGTTGTTGCTTACATAATTTGTGTGAGAGTAAAGGTGAAGTGTTTGCCAGTGGGTGGAGCACTGAGGGATAGTTCCTAGGTGCACTGTTTGAACAGCCAGACACTCGGGCTGTGAGAGGCACCTATAAGGCAACCGTTAACATCAAGGAGGCTCTGAGGAACCACTTTGACAATGAGGGGCACTGAAATTTCCTTTTTGAGGTTGCTTCCCTGCCTCAATCCACTGCTCATCTTAAGCAAGGCATTCTCATGAAACCAAGGGCTGTTACAAGCTTCCACAGGGGCCAGAGCAATTGGTATGAGTCATTGAACCCTGCATCAGTTGTGTCTTTATTGATCCCTTTCCATCACAATCACACATAGGTGAATACGTGCTGGTAAAGAAGGATAAGAGTTATTGGAAAACCTCACAATAGGTTTAAGTCCAGCTATCAAAGTCATGCCTGCTGTGATGGGGACTGGAGTGTGCTGGTAAAAAAAAACCCAAAAACCATTACGGCTATGTCTACACTGTCCCCGTTTTGCGCAAAAATATGCAAATGAGGTGAAGTGTGGAATATCACCATGCCTCATTTACATAATTAATGAAATGAGGCTCTGTTTTTGTGCAAGAAGCTTTTGTGCAAAATGGAGCCCTTTTGCGCAACCCTGTCCCCCTTGCACAAGAGCTGTTCTTCCGCATTTTTTCAGCAAGCACGGATCTTGCTCAGGAGGGGGGTTTTGCACAAAAATGGAGCCTCATTAATTATGCAAATGAGGCATGGGGATAGTCCATGTTTTGCCTCATTTGCATATTTTTTATGAAAAATGGGGGCAGAGTAGACATAGCCTACCAGACAGTGAAAAGGAGTGTGTAAGCAAAGAGGGAGGGTTTCTGGGTAAAGAATTCCTACTGTGCTGCCAGGGAGGCTTTTGGTTCTGAATCTTAATTAGCCACTTCAGCATCTTGGTTTGGTTTTCCATAATCTTCAACATGCTGTCAGTGGCTTCTGTTCTAGTTGGGTTAAATCCTGTTTCTGCTGACTCCCACAAATCTAAACAAGGTAGGAGCAAATTGTATTTACATAAACACACCCAGGGTCTCTTCCCCAGTCCCAGCTAGCTATAAGGAACACATTCCTTCACATCCAGTTTACATATCCACAGTGTTAAAGCTGTTTGCCAGTCACTTCAGCTTGTTGCTCCTTTCAGCTAACAGAGAAAAACTCAAAAGTATACATGAAAGGAAAAAAAAAATAAAATAAAAAGGGGAGGGGGGAGGGAATTGAGAAACTGCTGAAAGAGCAAAATGTATCAACTCAGCTCTTCCCTTTTTTTGCCACTGAGCTCATCTTTCCCTCCCTATAAGTCAGCTAAAACATTCTTCTCAGAATAAGTGTCATAGATACATAAAACATCTGCATTTTCACTGTTTGTTAAAATTGGGACAATGTGATTTTCAGACACAATGTAAACAAAATATAGTAGTTATTCTGGAAACAAGAGCCCAACTGCTGTGTGCAAGTGTGTGTGTAAGGAACAGATTACAATTAGAAGGACAAGTAGCTAAAGGCGAGTGGAGAAAAAAGGCCAAAAGGGATTTTAATTTTTTTTACAAACAATTTACCTTTTAGTCATTTCATAGCCCATTTCTTCTTTGTATTTTTTCTTCTTTCACAGATAATGTGAATATGTAATAAAATGTTTTAGTAGAATAGCTGTTGTATATGTTAATTTTTGTAATAATCACATTCTGAACTAATACATTATTGGGCCTTGGAATTTATTCAGTTCAGGATATGCTTACTACTTCATAAATAGGACAAGCACCATAAGGTACCAATACACCAGTATTATAATTGGAGACACTGATTCCTATATAAATGTACATTCTTATGTTCTTCCTGAAAACACTTTTTAACATCTGATGACTTTAAAGTAGTATTTGGCATCTGAGTTGGTAGTTACGGCTCAATTTTCCTAGTAGGCCAGTGTCCACCTCATAAAAATACCACCAAATCTGGCATGGAGTGATAGCCTGGTTAGAGCCATGGTTTTCACCATGTTCCACTTATGGATACCTAAAAAATGTTGGTGTAGGTGGGGGCTATTGGTCTGGAGATGGTCTGTGGGAGGGGTGGGTATAGAAGAGGCAGGATGGATATATTGGTGAGATCATTGGTCTGTTGGGAGAGGATGGGTAAGTGGATGGAAGTATTCGTTTGTGTGGGATGGAAGTCTGTAAGAAGGATGAGTGGTTTGGGGTGGGGAAGGATGGGTAGGTCAGTGGGAGTATTGGTTTGTGTGGAATGGGGTGGGATAGGTAGGTAGGTGGGGGTAGTGGTTTGTGCAGGATAGAGATGTTGTGGGGGAGGGAATAAGGAAGTGTGAGTTCAGAAAAGAGCAACAAAAATGATTAGGGGTTTGGAATGGGTCCCATATGAAGAGGGATTAAAAAGACTTGGACTTTTCAGCTTAGAAAAGAGGAGAGTTAGGGAGAATATGATAGAGGTCATTAGGTAGTAAGTAGGTGAGGATATTGGTCTTGGTGGGATAGGGTAGAGCTATCAGGGAATAGGAGTGTGGTGGATGCATAAATGGGAGGTATTAGTCTGGGAGGGAACCGGGTGGTATATGGGGGGGTAGGGTGAGTTGGGTGGGTAGGTAGGTAGACAGGTGTGATTGGTGCGTGTGGGGAAGGGTTGGAGTGGGGTGGATAGGAAGTGGCAGGGGATTGGCCTGGGGGGGGGGAGAATAGGGGAGGGGCAGATAGGTAGGTGGAGTTATTGGTAAATGAAAGGCTGCATGGGGGCAGGGTGTAGGCCTGAGGATGGAGATATGGGGCAGAGTGGGTAGGTAGCTGGGGGGGGGTGGCCCCTGCTAGCACTGAAGTGAGGGACGGGGCAAAGCAGGCAGGAAGTGTGGAGGAGGGGAGAGTAGATAACTGGGCGGGGTCATTGTCTTGTGGTGGGAAAGTAAGTAGGTAGGTCAGGAGCTTTGGGTTTGTGGTAGAGGAGGTGGGGGCAGGGCAGGCAGGGAGCGTGTGTGTGTGTGGGGGGGTGCAGGCAGCATGGCCCCTGCTAGCACTGAAGTGAGGGACGGGGCAAAGCAGGCAGGAAGTGTGGAGGAGGGGAGAGTAGATAACTGGGCGGGGTCATTGTCTTGTGGTGGGAAAGTAAGTAGGTAGGTCAGGAGCTTTGGGTTTGTGGTAGAGGAGGTGGGGGCAGGGCAGGCAGGGAGCGTGTGTGTGTGTGGGGGGGTGCAGGCAGCATGTG